GGAGGAGGAGGAGGAGGAGGAGGAGGAGGAGGAGGGGATGGTAGAGGTGAGGAAAGAAGATGTTAGGGAAGGCATTGAAAGGGTGATGGGGGAAGGAGAAGAAGCTGAGGAAAGAAGGAAGAAAGCAAGAGAAGTTGGGGTTATGGCTAATAAGGCCTTGGAAGATGGTTGCTCTTCTCACCTCAACATTGCATTATTGATTGATGACATGCTGAAACCAAACAACATTTCAACCTAATTTATTCCATTCTCATGTTCTAATTCCCTTCGGAAGCTTTAGTTTTTAATGGTTCATTTGATGCTTTGGACTTGTAGTTCACCATTTTGGTTCATGCCTGAATGCAATAAATTTTTATGTAATTTTAAAATTTTCTCATTTCTAATACAAATAAAAAAGTCTTAAATTATAAATTTGATGTCACACCAACAAAATCATACATTTACCAGAATTAATTAAATAACGAAAGAAAAAATTAAAGCTCAGTAGTGCTGTTTGAGTCATCTAAATGAGATGATATTGTGGCAAACCCAAGTTCCACGTTAAGCACTGAATCCATCATCGCTAATAGTCACAAATGCACCAGCCGGGAATCGAACCCGGGTCTGTACCGTGGCAGGGTACTATTCTACCACTAGACCACTGGTGCTTCTTGTTAAGATGTAGCCATTAATTTTTAAAGTACAAGATTAGTTTTTTTTTTGGGTAAAACGGTTTAACGATTCTTTCGTGTAAAAATGAAGAAAAATTGATTCCCACACGAGAATGAAGGAAAGCCTTACAAAAACAAGATGTTCTTATTGGTGAGTTGAGGAAAACGGTTGAATCATTCCATTGATGAAGGGATATAAAAACCAAAGCAACACCCAAATAAATTACAAAGCCATTTGCTCTAAAAACAGGCACCAATTTGGAGGAAGAAGTCTAAATTACATTACAATGGCTCGACAAAACTTGGTTTCCCTCTTTCTCATCGCCGCTATCTTATTGTGTTGCCAAGCTCATGCATCTGACGTCTGCGACAAAGCAGAGTATGTGGATCTTTGCAAGTCCGTTGTGAAAGGCGCCACCGATCCCAAAGCGGCGATCAAGACATCCCTCGAGCTTCTGTTGTCCGAAACACAACGCCTCAAGGCATCTAGTGAGAAGTTCAAGAATTCGCAGTTCATTGATGTGTGCACAGAAAACTATGACTCTGCCATTGATGACCTCAACAATAGCCTCAAGAATTTGCAGAGCAACGACATAGCCAGCCTTAAAATCACCCTCTCCGGATCCTTATCCTTCTACGAAACCTGCAACGATGCGGTGGCCGAAGGTGGCAAGGGTGTCGTGCAGGTGGCTTCAAAGCTTGTGAAAAAAGATAATAAGCTTAAACATATAGCTGCCAATGCCTTGCACTTCGCTACTTTGTTGAAGTGATTTTCCCATTAGCTTCGTGTATCGAACACACTCATTTCATGTTCGAACATCTTAATTTCGAACCTCTGATTCCATCCATATGTTTACTTCAACGGCTTTTGTTTTTTTTNTTTTTTTTTTTTTTTTTTTTTTTTTTTGTATCATCCCTCATGCGTGGGTGCTGGGGGAAATGGAAAATTATTATTTGAAATAAAGAACAAAAACAATAAAATTGACGATCTACCAGACAACCAAGTACACTTTTTCTTAGTTAAAAAGATTTCAAATTTGATTTTAATTTAAGAAAAAGAACTACGGGTTGAGGAGAGCTGATTGAGCCATTACGTCTTGGATGAACAGTGAGAAATTGATATGAGAAGATCCACCATTTTCCATTGCTTTGGATGCCATTTTACTCAATGCTCTGCTTCTTCTTCTTCTTTCTTCTCCTTCTTCTCCACTATCCATCGCCATTTCAATTGCTTCCTCGATGGCTTCCTTCTTCACCAACACTCCACCTCTTTCCTCTTCCCCCCATCGCACTGCCCCTTCCACCCCTATCCTCACTCCGATCTTCAGTACCTCCACCACCAGCTTCTCATTCAAGAACTGCTCTGCAAATTGAGGCCATGTGATCATCGGCACCCCGCTGCAGATCCCTTCCACCGTCGAGTTCCACCCACAGTGCGTTACGAACCCACCGATTGACGGATGCGATAGAATCATTAGCTGGGGAGCCCACCCCCTGATGATCAATCCCCTCCCTTTGATTTTCTCCTCGAATCCCTCTTCTGATACCCATTTTTCCAGCTCTGAGCAATTCTCGTCTCTGTTCTTGATAATCCAGATGAACGGACGATTTGAAGATTCTAAGCTCTGCCCAATTTGGATGAGTTGTGAAGGAATCATTCGACATAAGCTTCCGAGACAGATGTAAAGGACTGATCTCGGGATCATCGAATCAAGCCAGTTTAAGCAATGGCTCTGTTTCATGGGTGCTCTGTTTCCCCTGTTGTATTTTTCTGAACTCGTTTTGTTGCAAAGCGAAACCGGCCCAACGCACCACAATTTCTTGTTAATTTGCCGCTGGTAAATTTCAGAATACCCATCTTCCAGCTCTGTAAAGCTATTTACCACAACCCCATAAGCTTCCTGTTCTGCCTCTCTTATTTTCTCTCGGATATCATCGAAATCAGGGGACTTTATTAAGGATCCAGGGAGTTGGGATTTTGTAATTTCAATCTTATGAGGCAATCGAGGCACCAAAAACGGCTGTTTATTAGAATCAACCGAGGTGTGGGGACTGTAGAGTTGGAGATTGTGTGTGCTCAAGAGTGAGAAGCAGCCAGTGCCATGAAAGATGACCCTTGGGCATCTGAATCTGTGAGCAATTTGGGATGTCCAATACAAATACTTATCCGAAACGATGCAGGTAGGAGGAAGAAGATGATGGTCCAAGAACTGCTCCAATGGCTGCTGAAGCAAAGACAGAGCTTCGTAGAAATTCCTGAGAAGGGCACGAGATGGCAGAGCGTCAAGATTCTCGCAGCCGAGAGGAAGGCCGACTTGGAGGCAAGGAAAGGGGATTTGGAGGAGCGAAATGGGGAGGGCGGATTGCTTAGCCCGAGCGAAGAAGGATTCGAACCTGATGGCATTGTATGGGGTGGTGACGAAGGTGACGAAGATGCCGCGATGCGCGAGGAGAGTGGCGATGTCGGTCATGGGTATCATGTGGCCTTGAGCCATGAGCGGGACTAACACAAAGTGGGGCTGAACCTGGTGCTGGTTTCTGGGGGAACTGGAAGCCATGGATGGACGCCAAACTAACAGGAAATGGTTTGCTTTTGTGGTGAAGTGTCTTGGTTCTATTGTTCTTCATATATATAGCCATAAAAGAAAAGTGATTAAATTATATATATTTTTTAATAAAAAAAAGTCCATAAATTTATCATTTATTTTAAAAGTTTTAAAATTTATCATAAATTTATAATTATAACATTATATTATAATTTAACTAAGGAATCCTCTTGATTCCAATTGTATAGTAATTTAAAGTTTTTATTTTTATATAGTCTCTATTATTAGTGATTAAATTAATTTGTGTGGATAAAACATAATTTCCATTAAACTTCCCAAGGCAATATCAATCCAATAAGGGTCTTCTATTGTATAAAAAGGAAAGATGACAAAAACTAAAAAAAGAAAAGAAAAGATTTTAATAAAATAAAAATAGAACTTCCACTATTAAAGGTAGAGATAAAAGTGAAGGAAATTTCCAATGCAATTTCCATATCCAAAGTGTATTCATATTTTTGGCATTTTGGTCTAAAAATAGTTCAAAAGTTAAATGTTAGATTAAATGAGATTGATTTTTTTTTTTTTTTTTTTT